GCTGAGTGGCAATGAGCAAATATTTCTTGATGACTATCACTGTTGACTCAGAAGCCATGTTTGCCGCATCTGCATTTCCGCACATATTCATTCCTTCCTTTCAGGATGTCCGCTGGGGTAAATGAAATCTCGGAACGTAGTTCGATCCAGGAGAAAGCTTGCCTAATACTTGATCAGCATGCCGAATGGCTAAAAGGTTCGCCTACGCTGCGGATTCCCCAGTTCACTTTTCACTTCATCTATCATGGCACACCAAACACCATGGATTGAAAGGTCGGCAACCGATAGTACAATTCAGGCCTCGCAGTCGGCCCTGCGCGTGTTTTTGTGGTATGGTCCACTGATGGACTCTGAGTCAACCTCAATGATTCCTTCCTAATAAGTCTCCTACGGCATTATCCCACATGTGAGATCCAAGCCACCTACCCTCTTTGTGTGAAATCCTGGTGTGGTACACGTAAACGGGATGTCTGGCTCTGTCGGCCACGAGACAGTGAGCGGTTATTAGAGGATCGTGTGTAGCCGTCGTCCACCGAAATCGACGATGCAAGAGCACAGTAGACCACTGGATTGGGTAAATTATAGTCGGTTCGCGTCCTCTCCATGCTGCACCATTGAAGCGGATCTCAAGCACATATCCGCGCTGCTAGGAACACTCCGGACAAATGCGACGTGAAGGCAGACAGACTCTAGCATGGTTAACAAAAAGTCGCTCAAGAGCCCGTTTGAGGCGGATTGTGCCATAGTAAATGCGGCGTTCTTCTCAAAGGATAGAAGCTATCTTACTTGATGAGTAGAGCATTTCACCGAAGAGAATCGGCGAAGGAGTGTGGACATGGAGGTCGAATCATGAACGATTCTGAAACGAAATGAGCGCTACGATTGTGTGGAGTAGTAGATGTTCCGCCTAGACTCAGGCGGCTTTCTGGAGCTCAAGAAAGGGCAGTTTAATCTTCATTTATGAGAATTTTGGTAATTTATTTTGGTAAGATATGGTTTATTAGCCCCACCTAGTGGACACAATACTGTTGGGGTTGAGGGTTAGGGGTCAGGGTTAGCGTTATAGTTAGGGGTTAGGGTTAGGAGTTAGAGTTATGGGTTTTGGTTAGGGGCCAGGGTTTAGGATTAGGGGTTACAGTAAGGGTTTGGGGGTTTGGCTAGGGGTTAGGCCAACTATTTCTCAACCACTTAAAGTACAACCGCGAATTCCCAATAGCTTTTCTTTTGCATACAACTACTTGACCTCGTCGTTTGTGCGTTCCCCGGTCCCACCTGTAAAAAACCCTATCACCGCCAGTCTCGCATTAGAGATGACTGCGATTCATTTACTTTAGGTGGAGCTACTTAACTAACGTAAATAGTAATGTTCTCACGAAGTAACGAGTTATATCTCACGACCCCCTAGCCTTAAAGGCAGCAAGTAAAACTGAGCAGTGAATAATATAGAGATTTTGAACGTTAAGAAAACTAACAACAGACCACGACGGAGCAGCACGCTAGCAAGGCGGGTTGTACACTTATGTCGTTTTTCGTCCCATTCAAACAAGCAATCCGGTCAAAGAAAATGGGTCTAAATTGTCAAAGGTAAATTAGTCAGGTACCTCACCACATAACCACAGCCAACCTTTTTTCCTATGGGCGTACCGCGACTACATCTGTGGCAAACTGTTTTAAGAACACACTACCGCTTCAAGTACACCACATTCATAGCGAGCTCTCTCACCCGTGCTAACCTTGAGGCCCGACTGACCGCCTTATCCAGCTGCCACGTGGATGCACGCACCTCCGGACAGTCGGAGCCGCCCATATCTCGCGTGCCAAAATGCACGCCAACTAGGACACGAGGCCCTAACTTCGCTCCCACAAAGCCTTTAATAGCCCCCAGACCACCCAGGTGCATTCCCTCTCTACCTCTTCTGTGTTTTTATACTGCCAGCACACGCCGTGGTCTCACTGACGAACACCATAACCTATAACAGTAGATCCGGCTTTTGTAAGGAAAAATCTCTCATTTCCTTGTCTTCCGTCTTTTCTTGATACTCAAAGTCTGTCCTGGTATTTGTGGTCATTGGGGCACAACCAACTGCCCAGACGTCATTAATGTATTACCGGTAGTGTGAAGGAGAGAGTGCATTAGATGCGACGAAAGTCTACACTCACTATGAGCTGATTCACGCGCTTTATTTTGAAATCATATGTTCAAAATTTTCAGCAAAAAGTTGGCTCCATTCACTATGGGCAGTAAATAAGTTAATAGATTATTCAAGAGTCAAAGTTTAACACAAAGAAACGATTATTATGGGGATAGTTCAAGTCTTAGCTTCTGTATTTCTGTCTCTTCGCACGTAAGATAGCGCGCTAGGAATGGCAATACAGAAGCTCGATAAGCCGATGTGCGACAGGATATAAGACGGAAGTTGAGACGCATCGGGCGGGAAGACTTGGCAGACATAAGATCGGAATGTAGGGGATGGGCAACGTCATCTAGAATTCGACCAGCAAATTGCTTGACCGCACTGAAGTGTTGTTGTAAGATAGTGGCAACTAAAAAAATATAAGAAACACCAGCAGCAAAAGAGAGCATGCGGAGGATTCGTTTCAAAATAAAAAGATCCTTTTTTAACAAAGCAGGAAAAATGACGGGAGAACAGTATAGGATAAGAGGAAGAATGCAGGCATCAATGAATCGCCAGACTAAGGGTTGAGGTGTGTGGTAGCAACGTAAACGACGAATGTAGTAAAGAAGTTTACGAACTTTAATAAATAGGGACTCACTATGGAGGTCCGGCAGCTGTTGATCCACGGATCTTTTTAAGGTGTTTCGCTACTGTTGCCAAAGACACGGGTTGGAATGTACTCGGTGATAGGGGAATGTCTTCTAAGGGAAGATGGAGTCATTGTGACTAAATATAAAATTTTTATTTAGGGAGTCTAAATCTGCATCCACATGCACCAGCGTGTTGCGATGGCCAGTGAGACGCTCAAGATTTTTCCAAATCTCAGCTGAAGAAGGGGGGGAAAGGGAGGGAGTAAGAAGAGGAAAAACGTTGGTTGACAAACAGGCTATTTAGCCTGTCAATCTCTGTTTTTATTAAGACGGTAACGTTCTTAAGGTTATCACGTAAGCCTAGCTTATAAAGGAGTTCTTTTTTACGTCTTAACGATTTCAGATAGGGGAAAGAAATTCTATCCGGTCGTACCATAACAGTATCAAAAGGGCAGCAAATATTGAAAATTTCATTTAAAAACGCTGTCAGGTTGGAAGAACAGGATTCAACATTAGAATGTTCAAGGAAAGTGGGGATAGTTAAAAAAAATGCAAGTCTGAAGCATGAGAATGTTTTGGGCGGACGTGTTGCGAACCTTAACCTTTCTCTCAGGCTTGGCAAGCAGTGCACGTTTTGAAGTGGAATAGATTTTTGGAAGACACGATAAAGTGGAATGGTCAGAACCTGACAATGGGGCCCTGTTTTTTACGCAAAAAAGCTTGCTGTGGTTAGTCAGAATATAATCAAGAGGGGCATCTGCGCGAGTATTAAAGGAGACATAAGACAAGGCCTTTCATGATGGATTTTCTAGGATGATGATGCCGTGGCTCATGGGTTCCGCACCTTTGAAGAGCCATCCAATCCTCAAAGACCTCTCACAACCGGTTTGCGCTGCCGACCCCAATTTAATAAAACACTGTTTAAATTGTCTTCAGTTACTAATGCCCGGGATACCAGAACGGCGAGCACCTCGCTCTGGCGAATACATTGAACAGATCTCACCCGCCGCCGACGTCGTGCGGAGGCTCGTTAAAGCTGTAATTCTACAAAAAGGGCGCTTCTGTCCGATATCAATAATTGAGCTAGCGTGGTGTTTTTTCTTTTATTTAAATTATTTTCAGGTACTTTGACCAAAAGCAAGGTGATTTTGAAAAGGGCACGATGTCCGCTTACTTTTCACTGATTCAGCATCATTCTTTGCTGGCCAATTTTTTGACTAACAATATCTTGTCGACGGCATATCCAAAATTCGTGACGTGCATGCGCATAAAGCCTTTCAGCGTTGTGATTATCCATATGATCGATAATAAAAACCTGCTTTGTATGGAAACTTGCGCTCTGACAGCTCAAGCGCGTGTGCTCAACGTACGCCGACCATCTGTTGCTTCTAAATCCCCCGTAAGCAGTTTTTCGCCATCTGGAAAGTTTGGTCGAAACTAAGATAATGTTAGCAAATTTTATCCGAAAGCGCGAAATCGCAATATTTTTTGAAAATTTCGCCAAATAATGACACTATTTTAGTGAGATTACTGTTGCATTTCGACTACATTCATTTGCAATTCATTCCCGAAGTCATGCACGTGTTAAAAGGTCGTCTAATTTTCCAGGGACTGTTTATTGCTCAGAACACATGGGTTAAAATGCCTGACCCGAATTGAGCACGAGAAATGAGGCCATTCCGCATTTTTAAGGCCTAATCATCTCCGATGTTTATGTACCCTTTCTTCATACTAGCCCTTCCCTTGTTGTCCTCATACAGAAAGAGAACACTGTGGATTTTGCTGCATTTCTCATGCATGGTAGCTTCACCCATGGACAAAGGATTTTATTCAATGTACTCGAATGCCCGAGCTCCCCCCTCGTACAACAGCCGTGTACTCGACTGCTCCTCATTACGCGGCCGCCGTGTGTCCCCACACATTGTAACTCTGTCCCCTCCCCCTCTCCCCATCCCTCCCACCTTCCCCTTCCACTCTTCTCCTCGCCCATTCCACGCCCCCCTTCCCTTCCACCCCTTCCTTTACCTCACTACTCTCTTCTCTGTCTACTCTCTACACTACTCTTTCCCCCACGGTCGAGAAGTCCTACCGCGAGGGCGACAGGCAATCACGCGGCCAAAGCCAATGGGGCCGTTCTCTCACTAAACCAATGCATGGCCCATAGTGGAGAGCGGCAGCCGACTGAGACGACTTAGCAGCCCTGGTTAGGCATAGCACTGCTTACTCCAGCGAGATGGAGGGGGCTAGAAAAGGTGCCCTAAAGAAATTCTGGGATCGCATCCTCTGCACGCAGACCCTGGCTCGCAAACTGCCACGCCTGCGATCGAAACCAACAAACGAGGAACAAATATCTCTGGCTCCCCTCTCCTCCTCCCTTCCATGCAGCCCAACAGGTTGTAGGGTGAGTCCGCTCACTCTGACAGCCAAGGAGGAACCGACCGGAACGGAGAACGGCCCTGGTGGCTCGGGAACTAACGCGCTTCAAGGTGGGCATCGCTGCACTCAGCGAGATCCGATTCTCCGAACAAGGCCAACTAGAGGAGGTGAGTGCCGGCTACACCTTCTTCTGGAGCGGTCACCCCACGGTAGAGCAACGAGACACTGGCGTCCTCTTTACCCTCCGGAAGGACATCGCGGGACGATTGCCCCGTCTGCCGTAGGGCACCAATGATCGCCTGATGAGGCTCCGCCTGCCTCTACGAGGAGGCGAATTTGCCACCACTGTCAGTGTCTACGCTCTCCCGATGACCAGCCCCGACGAAGCGACGAACGAATTCTCCGAGGACCTGCATGCTCTCCTGGCGTCTGTGCCGAGGGCGGATAAGTTGATTGTCCTTGCTGACTTCAGCGCCCGCGTCAATACAAACCATGCTGCCTGGAAAGGAGTGCTGGGCCCTCATGGTCTTGATGGATCAAATAACAATGGCCTGCTTTTCCTGCGAACCTGCGCAGAACACCGAATCATCCTCACTAACACCTACTTCCGCTTTCCGACGCGGGAGAGAGCGGCCTGGATGCATCCTCGGTCGCTGAACTGGAATCTGCTGGACTATGTCCTCACCCGGAGGAGAGACCAACGGGACATGCTGGTGACAAAGACGATTCCGGGTGTCGACAGGTGGACTGACCATCTCCTCGTCATCTCTAAGATGACGATTTGTCTACAGCCTCATAGGAGACCTCAAGGTAAGCGACCATCAGGTAAGTCGAATTTGATAAATGTGTCTGCCCATTATCTCCACTTCAGCAATGAACTTGCCCAAAGGCTAGCCAACCTTCCAGTCGTCGCCGACGACGACGCCCAGTGGAGAACCGATGGTGCCAACTGAGGGGCCCAATCCGGTCAACCACCTTGACTGTCCTCGGCCGTTCACGGCGCGAGCATCAGGACTGGTTGTACGACGCCGCCGCCGCCGCCGCCATAAGCAATCTAATTGCCGAGAAGAACCGGCTGCAAAAACCGTACGTTAACCTGGAAAATCATGTAAAAATTCGGCTGTAGCGAGCGATCCCTCAGATGGTGCATTAGCTCCACGATAGCATGCTGGCGCACATCACGGACAATGGAGCCGTCTCAGAAGCATTCTCAGCAAGCAATGGAGTGAAGTAGGACTAAGTCCTGTCGCCTACCCTCATCAGTCTCATGTTCTCTGTTATGCTAATGGAAGCCTACCGTGACGAAAACCCCGGGATCCGCGTCGCCTGCAGGATAGACGGATGCACTTCCAGTAGCGCGCGTCCACAACTGCCGTCCATGAGCTTCTCTTCGCCGACGATTGCAGCCTCAGCACCGCAACAGAGGGAGACATGCAAAGGAGCACGGACCCCTTCGGCGCCTGCGACGTCGCCCAACAATCAACACGGACAAAGCAGCGGCCGTACACCAACTGTACCGAACGCTGACTACAATTCTCCTCGGATCACTGCCAACGGTAACCAACCCCAAAGCAAGACAGGCCTTTGGCTGGCTGAAAGCCTCCGTGTGGAATCGTTACGGCCTTCAACTGGACACCAAAACAAGGCCGTTACCTTGTCGACACTTCTGTACGTGGCGGAGACTTGGACCGTCTACACAAACCATGCCAGGAAGCCCAGCCACTTCTAGCCCAACTGCCTTCGCAGAATACTGAAACAGAGATGGTAGGACATGATCTCGAACACAGACGTCCTGGAATGGACCGGAATCCTCAGCATTCACATCATGCTAAGGCAACTGCAACTGCAATGGAGCGACCACCTGGTGAAAATGGACGACGCTCGTCTACCGAAACCAACCTTCCACGGAAATGTCGCCACGGGTGCTCGCCGACCAGCAGAACTAAAACGACGTTAAAAGGACATTCTGAAGACTTCACTGAAGCGCCTGCAGATCAACCCGACAAACTGGGAAGACCTCGGCCGAACCGACCAGCCTGGAGGAGGACAGTGAGGATGGGAGCAGCGATCTACGAAGCCAACCGCATCACTGCCGCCAACGCCAAACGTGAAGCTCGAAAACCCCGACTGCCCCGCCTCGCAACGCCAACACTCAGTCGACCCCAACATGCCCGCGGTGTCAGCAAGCGCTCTGGGCACCAGTCGATCTTCTTGGGCATCTTCAAACCAACTGCATCTCCCGGACGACATCACCTGATGCATTCCCGTCCACCTCTGTCCAGCCGCCACGTCGATAAGCAACCGTAAACGTGCTCCTGATCCCCGTCATCATCATCCGCCATCTTCCCCGTCTCAACCTCTGCTACTGCGTCTCCTGCCCTCACCACCATCGCAACCTGGGGTGCGCGGCCAGTTCCCTGACCGTAGACGTGCTTGCGTTCCCGCATGGCATACAGGTCACGGGCATAGTTGTCCAGTCGTCCTCCTCTTTCGGATCTGTTATTTTGTTGCTGCTGATTAAAATCCTGGTCAGTGTGGCCAGGGGTGTGGTTGTACTCTCAGGCCTGGGTTTTCACCGTGCCAGCCACTTGTCCCCTCTCCCGCCCCCGGTCTTCTTGACTATGTCTTGACACCGGATTCAGGTGGAGGAGGTGGAGGAGGTGGAGGAGGTGGAGGAGGTGGAGGAGGTGGAGG